CAAACCAGGCCGAATTGTTTAGTTTTCACCTACAAATCCAAAACAAACTTTTTCTCCCTAACAACCAATTTCTTCACTTTCAAAGTCATAGATAGATTAAAGGAAAAGGACACCGTCTTTCCTTATCAAAGTTAAGTAGGACCAAGTGGGTCTCAGTGGTCAACCTGGGACTCCCGTTCATGACCCCGGGACACCCGTTCATGACCCTGGGACTCCCGTTCATGACCCTGGGACTCCCGTTCATGACCCCGGGACACCCGTTCATGACCCTGGGACTCCCGTTCATGACCCTGGGACAGCCGCTCATGACCCTGGGTCTCCCTTTCATGACCCTGGGACTCCCGTTCATGACCCTGGGACTTCCAAATGTAACTCTGTGAACCCCCAGATAGCTACAGCATGCAGCGTAGTCAAGTGTCTCACTACTGATGTCAATGCTCGAGGTAAAACAACATTATTGTTTACATAGGATGACAGCGACGTCAACGTATTTCAGCCTCTACTTGACGTCCAACACTCTAGCCAGCGACGTCTACCTCAACTTCGTCCTCAACTCGGTGTCCGACTTTCCATCCGGGTTCCTTTTTTGGCTTCTCTCAGACAGGTAAAACAATGTCTCAAGGATGTTGCAAGGATCAGCTAGTGATACAGTGTTGCCCCTTTGCAATTATGTCAGTATCCGCTGAGCGTTGGTTCGACTAGCTATTATTATTACTATCATTATTAACAGATTAAAATAAGAAAATGCAGCAAAGAGGGTTTTAGTGATCCTGGCACAGTCAGGCTGATTAGGCTCATCATCAGCTCAGGGCCCTTGCCCCCTCTGCACGCAGCCCAGACAGAGAATGGGACTTCTCCCAGCAAGGGCTGCCTTGTCAAACCCACCCAGAACTTTTTTGGAGAATCCCAACACAGCAGCCTTCTGCATTACACAGATTGCCAGAAGGGTTATATTCCTGGTAGTAAACCCGGGTACTCTCCCAATGTCAGTCAACAGATTGGGAGGTACCAAACCTAAGGCACCGAGAACAATGGGGAGTCGGACAACTTTGTACTTGGGATGCAAGCGTATGCATATTTGCATATTTTTTTCCCCTGGATCTTGTCAATCACATCAGTGTCAAAAGGGACAGAAAATTCAATAATATAAATGATTTTATTGGATTTATCAAAAAGGACAAGATCAGGTTTGTTTGCCTAGATAGGTCTGAGGCTGTATACGGGCCAATTCCAAAGAATTTTGTATTCATCATTTTCCATGACGCCCTCTACATATTCCGGGTCGTACCATGGATGGACCTTTTTGTCAAAACCACAAGCATGGCGAAGACGGTAATAAAATGAGTCCATCATGTTTTACGCAGGTTTGGCATATATGAGATAAATTGGCACCTATATGTTTAAAATACATAGAGAAATACAAGCCTTGTCAATGAGTTGTGTCATTTTATTTCCTTTCCTGGAAATATACAGGCATCAATGTTCAATCAAACATCATGGAATACAGTGGAAAGCTCAGGACATATGTCTAATTTCATCTCTGTGTGAGCTCGGTATCTCTGCAGAGTCTGCAAACAAAAGTACAGCTCATTAAGTTGGACAAAGGATGCTCAGTACATTAGCGAGGGATACTTAATTTCAAGTAGCCACTGCAAGCACCCCGTCGAATATTGCATAATGCATGCCAGCAGTCCGTCCAGGTATTTCAGCTATTCAAAAGTAGAATGTATTCCGAGCTAATTTACGTCTCCAGCTTTCAAATCGTGGAGGTAAACAAGGCTATAGTTCTTCTTTATGGCAGGTTGCCTCAACCTTTCCGTCACAAAACAAATGTAGTATCTGAACTAGGCCTAGACACGTGACGTTGTCCTTGGTTGAATGCACAAACTGAAAATAGGAAACAGAATTGAAATAAACTATTCCAGCCGGCTGTCAGTCAAAGTCAGGCTGCCCTTCACGAAAAGTCTGTTGTTGTTCCCACTGACAAGGTCTAAATAAACAAACCATAATATGTTTGTTTGTTTGTTGCTTAACGCCGCACTCTGCAATAGTCCAGCTATATGTCGGTGGTCTGTAAATAATCGAGTCTGGACCAGACAATCCAGTGATTTATGTCATGAGCATCAACCTACGCAATTGAGATACGATGAAATGCATCAACCAAGTCAGCGAGCCTTACCACCCGATCCCTTTCGTCGCCTCTTTCGACAAGCATAACCATTATATGTAAACACCACTACATTAATTGTTTGATCAAAGAGCTTAGTATCAGTGACATATCAAATTATGCCACATATAAGGCTAGTATGTCAACTTAGGAAGGGATCTGCCCAGACTATGCATCAGTACTATCAACTTTTGGCCTGACTCGAAAACACGAAGACATGCCCTCTTTTGTACTCGATTCCAAAGCTCTGCATAAAGAGAAGCACCAGTCCATTGCTTGGTTCAACAAATGTGCCACCATTGCCTATCCCAAAGATTAACCATAATCATTTAATTAATAAAACCAAGCAAGGACTTTCTATAAATTCACAGAAAGTATTTTATACAAATGAATTAATACAATGTGGATTCTCAAAACCTCAAAGGATTTGGGTGACTTTTTACAATTTCAGAAAAGAACCAAGTTTATTTCTGTCAACATTTCATTTGATTTTTCAACTTTCTACATCACTATCCCACCTGACAAACTTAAAGAAAACGTTATTCCTTGGTCCATGGGGCGTTTGTTACAAAACGTGGTGACCTTATATACAATTACACATATACCTTCAGAGGTTCAGGGAAATTTGTCAAAAATCTGAAGATTTCTGAGAAAACAATAAGTGAAATGCTGGACTTCCTAATTGATAACGTCTTCGTGAAATTTGGGGGTTAGACATTTAAGCTAGAAGCAGGTATTCTATACATGAGGACACACATGGATATGTACTATTTCTTAAATTGATTGGTCTAAGGCACCGCAATTCGCAAATCTGCTGGCCACGTGTCCACATCACACATTTGCCCTGATGACAATCCTTGGTCTGTCACCACCATGTATGGACTGGTGGGTTTCAGCTAGGGTTGGGACGAGTCCAAATTTACTACTCGGGTACCCATCCCACTATTACCCGACCCTACCCGGGTCTGACCGTAGCCGTTTGACCGTAGCCCTGGTATAATGTATTTCGATACTCATAGAAAACGAAGTGGCCATGCATACATTGAAGTTGACTGAAGTTTTATCTCTATTCAAACATATAACGTCAGAAGGTATTGGTGTATAGTCAGAAAGAAATTCGAACACTTGTCACTTATAGTGTAACCGTTGAAGTTCTAGATAATTGTTGCCATTAAACAATATATCACGTGACTAACCACGGGTCTGGGTAGTACTGTGGGTATCCGGGTCCTACTCAGGAACCACCCGACCCGAGTACCCGAGTTGCCCGTCCCAGCCCTTGTTTCAGCAGATATGTGCAAGTCAACCTCTAAAACCAAGGCCCCGTTCCACAAAACAGTCTTAACGTAGCTCCCATACTGTAATATAGGCGTAGGGTAGTGGTAGTGCTAAGGTCGCTTTGTGGAACGGGACCCTGCATCGGTTTGAGCTTTCCTCCCACTTCCAGCTGACTCGCCATCATCGGACTGATGGAATGCTCAAATCGGCGTTAATCCAACCTCACTCACTATGTCGCCTGGTGAAAAGGCCTTAGTTTAACGGAAATAAGTACCCTTTGCTCGTTCTAATGTCGGACTTGATGAACTTGGGGTCTGATGTTGATGATGCATTACCAGTCTGTGCGTTATTGTTTCCTAACGTGCCTGCCATGCGTCTAGCTCTATTATTACAAGTCGCTGTTTCATTGTTGTTTTAACCAGTTTTATTAATTATTATATTGCCGACAGGTCGATGACCCAGCACACAGAACAAATATAAATTGCGGGATTAAATTGATGTGGAGCTAAAAATGCAACCAGTAACAAAAACGAAATGTTCTTTTCGCAAAGGGAGGTTACTCTAATTACAAATTTGTTAACATCTACACCTCAACGTAAACAGTATCAATAATTTTTATTATTAATATTTCGTATACATTTATTCAAATGAATCTTTGAATTTGACAGAGTCGGCAGGAAGAAAACATTTACGATATTTTACCTGATGTCCGGGTTTGGTCTTCTTGCCTCCACCATTATAAAACTTGTTACAGGTAAGATAAAACAAATAATAAAAAAATATGAATCAGATATTCTGGAAAAGAAGTTAATACTTTCCCAAAATATTTAAGGTGAATCCACGCAAATGGACGCAAAATCCATGCCCTCAAAACAATGATCGGTCAACAAAGGCTAAGCCAGGATCCGCTGCTTGTGAGTTCGAATCTTGATTCACGGGTTTCATTAGTATAATGGGTAGACGCGGACGACTTGCGTCCTCTGTCCTCCCTCATTAAGCTGACAGGCCGTGACATAACTGAAATACTGTTCAAAGCGGAGTCACACTCAATTTCATTCTCAATTCTTTAATCATTATTTTGACAAAAGGTGTTTATGTTTCTCTGTCATGGTGTCTTCAGCCAGCGTGTCGTGGCATATCGTGGCCACGGTGTGCGCCTTTGTGGGGAGAGTGTTCATTGGTGCGACTTTCGTGTCATTGCTTCTATTTACTACTGAGGTCTATCCCACAAATGTGCGGTAAGTAGAAACAACATGTATCCAAAGTCATCCTCTTCCTTATTACTACAATAATAATATTAGTTATGGTGTGTTTAGTTGCCGTATACGGTGTCATATTCGGTTAGCAGAAACATTTTGGGCGAGGCGTCAGCTAACCTAATATAACACCGTATACGGCAACTAAAGACACCATAACGAATTTATTATGCCGAAAGGTTTACACTCTAGATCTCTGGTATCCATATCTCACATTTTGCCTTTTATCAGAGATTTCCTCATCAGCGCTACCAGCAAAACGTTTGACAGCCATTGCTGATGTGAAAGGGAGACCACTCTTCAAACCTTAGAGGCCAAACCTTGTTGAAAATTTTAACTATAATCTTTTTATCAATAAAGTCACAAACGTGATCTAAAAAACAGATTAATGACCTTGCACATCACAATTAATGATAATAAAACACAAAACAGTGTCAAAAATCTAATTTCGGTACCGGCATTTCCATGTGAAATATGTGAGGTGGGTGTCGGAAAATCCAAGATGGCTCTTACTGACTTTATACGGGCTCATGTGGGGTGAGTAGTTCTGCGCTCTGATTTGTCAATCTCACTTTGAGGCACATTCGTGACCAACTCGTGTTATTCCGGGACAAGCCGAATATAGGTTACGGAAAGGGGCGAGTGGTGACGAATGTTTGAGGCATTATAAACACCAATATTGTGAGCCTCCCAGTTTCATATCGCTGTAAAGGATGCTAAACACGCCAACCACAGTTTTGCACTAGATGGCGCTATATTCAGCATGACTAATAAACCATAAATTAGATTAGATATTGTAAACCATGATCTGTTTTAATTACTTGGCAAACCTGAATCAACGCAGTGGAACCTAGAACTAATATCAATGTTTAGTCGGACAGACAGCCCATTGATCACCTCAATGATAAGAGACATCGTTTCCAGGATCTTACGTATGTCTCATCATTCTATTCATCAGGAACATTGGGCTTGGAATAAATTCGACAACGGGTAGGATAGGATCTCTAGTCGCCCCTTTTACGGCCATTTTGGTAAGTAAACAATGTTCAAATGCACATTTTTTTTTAAATTGTTGAATGTCACCCGACTGAGTAGTTTAAACGCATGTCACCTGGACCCGTGGCGCTATCCATACAATGTCAAATGAGTGTGTGAGTGTGTTTGGTTTACGCGATATTGAGCAGTACTTGACTTCCATCATGGCGTGCCAGCTTCTTGTGGGAAGAAAGCCAGCGTATTGCTTGTCCTTGACGTTGTCGGTTCAGTATAATCATCGTGATCAGGGTAACCTTGGATTCTAATCATCAATAGTCTGAATCTGTCACGGGGGCGGTGGGGTAGCCTAGTGGTTAAAGCGTTCGCTCGTCACGTCCAAGACCCGGGTTCGGATCCCGACATGGGTACGATGTGTGAAGCCCATTTGTGGTGTCCCCCGCCGTGATATTGCTAGAATATTGCTAAAAGCGGCGAAAAACCATACTTACTCACTCACTGAATCTGTAACGACTCCGACTAAGGGTCCGACTAACTGTGTTTTCACGGTGCGAATATTACTTAAAACCGCCGTAGTATAACTGTATTATTAGAACTTGTCAATGTTGGTTGAGTCTGTGTCTATTTCGTCACGGACACGTACCAAACCTCACATCTGACTTCCTGAACTACCGACCCGAGGCTCCATACAGCTGCACTTTACCCTGTTTCAGATGAAACAAATTCCCTGGCTCCCCGGTGTGTTGATGGCCTCCTTCTGCTTCCTGTCCGCCCTCGCTGTAGTCCTCCTGCCAGAGACGAGGGGGACGGAGCTGCCCAACACGATACAGGAGGTAGAGGACATGTACAAGAGGACCAGAGACAGAAGGTCCCCCTCCGGCACTGGACAGGACACATCTATATAAACCAAGGGGACATTAAGGAGGCCCAGAGACAGAAGGTCCCCCTCCGGCACTAGGCAGGACACATCTATATAAACCAAGGGGACATTAAGGAGGCCCAGAGACAGAAGGTCCCCCTCCGGCACTAGGCAGGACACATCTATATAAACCAAGGGGACATTAAGGAGGCCCAGAGACAGAAGGCCTCCTCCGGCACTAGGCAGGACACATCTATATAAACCAAGGGGACATTAAGGAGGCCCAGGGACAGAAGGCTGTACATAACCTACAATTTTGATAAATTGAATGGTTCGAGCTAGTCACGAGAAACGATCCTAAATGATAATCCGAGTTTGAATAAAAATATTTCATGCATCGATAGATAGTGTATTCGGCGCATTACAAATATCCATTATTATGATTGTGATTATTAGTATTATCAACACGGTTGATCTTCTATGCGACGTCGACCATGTGCCAATGGTACCACAAGGAAACACTCCTGGAAAACACCTCACTAAGGAATAAACAGGGAATCAGGTCTTCACATCAAGTGACGCGGGGGAAATGAAATTAACACAAATAACTACATTCTAAGTTCTAACACGTTTTATACATTGAGTACACTGGAACAGATACATATTGAGGCACCACAATTCGCAAATCTGCTGGTCATGTGTCCACAACACATGCCCTGATGACAATCCTTGGTCTCTTGGTATCCTGCACGAACTCATGGCTTTTACCAAAGTGGTACCAGTAAACCTCTAAGATATGTATCACTAGGCGGCTTCCTCCAACATCCAGCATGATAAATGAACTAAAAATAGCGTTAAACCATTCTCACTTCTCACATCAGTTCAGCAGATCCGGTTTCCAGGATGAACATGTTATCAATGTGCACACATATTACACGACAAAGACAGGTTTGTTGAATGTATACGTGTTGGTCTATTGTGTCCACACGGCGTGTCGAATGATAGTTCCTGTGTCCGAAATCAGTGTTCTTTACGAAAGCAAGCCAATAGTTCATGGGGCATTATTTCACAACGGCTTTGCCAAAGAACTGACATATATATTTGTTGAGGCCGATTTTTTTGAGAGACAAAATGTTTCAGTCACTCCAAGACAAATAATTGTTGTCTCTGAAAGGAGCTGCTTAACAGTTTTACTTTTTTCGAGGACACCCTATATGTCCACATTACACCTTAAAACGAAAATAATTATTACTTTTGGACCCTGTGACCGAGGTTGAATGAAAACATTACCCGCACACAGTGACACACTATACACACATATCTATTAGGACGTATAGCACATAAGCTCCTAGTTTTCAGACATACCGATTGATTATTGTAGTATGATGCTAAGTCCTCACAGCTCTTGAAGAATCGGCAAGAGACATAGTCGCACAAATATATCCAATCCGAAAATGATTTGACAGAGATTATACGGTACATCAACCAATCCTAAAGAACCACCGAAAGATGAGGATGTTGACGAAGTCGGAATCATACAGTCAGTGATGTCCAGAAATGCGAGTTCCATGAAACAAAGACGAAGGATAAAGGTTCTAACACTGACGTCATTAAACACTGGTTGAGAGCGGTCTATCACAGCTACCAGAGAGAATCTCTCTTCCCCGTCCGTGGAGACCCACACATACAGTGACACCTCGAAAGTCGGGGAGCCTCACCCCCGGGCGCTAATGTCGGGACAATTCTAATTCAGCCGTGATTAGTTCATTTTAAAATGGGTTAATCCTGATGCAGTCACTGCGAAAACTGCATTCACAGTCCGGATTAAATGGGTTTCACAGTTCATATATTACAATCAACAGTTCTGTTAACAGCTGTGAAATCGTGTGCACATCCTATTCTCAAGGGACGGTGGGGTAGCATCGTTGTTAAAACGTTGGCTCGTCACGCCGAAGACCCGGGTTCGATTCCCGACATGGGTACAATGTGTAAAGCCTATTTCTGGTGTCCACCGCCGTGATATTGCTGTAATATTGCTAAAAGCGGCGTAAAACCATACTCACTCACTCACTCCTACTCTCCAGAAACTCTGTTGTTGATTCCCTGGATGTGGGTGGTCGCCTCCGGTTTACACAACCTGTATCAATACCTCGGAACACTGACACTAGACGAAGGCCAAGATGAGAGCTACTCCGACCAAACGTCGCCAGTCCGCTTTCCTTCTTTTCCTCTTAACACTGACAAGACGCGCTGCATCACTCGTCGCAACATCAGTAGAAGGCTGGTTTAGGTTTGGAGTGGGGCACTACTGCTACGGGTAGTTTGTCTCCGCTCCACGGTCTGAAGGTAAGGAAGGACATGCATGAAGTGGTTCATTTAAGGAATAGAACATTGCAGTGTTTCGTTTGATAGTCATTACTATAATAGTTAGAGTGAGTGAGTGAGTGAGTATGGTTTTACGCCGCTTTTAGCAATATTCCAGCAATATCACGGCGGGGGACACCAGAAATGGGTTTCACACATTGTACCCATGTCGGGAATCGAACCCGGGTCTTCGGCGTGACGAGCGAACGCTTTAACCATTAGGCTACCCGACCGCCCCTATAATAGTTAGAAGTTGACGTATGACAAAGTAGACACAATTTATGGATAACAACTTCTGTTGATACTGTAAAGGCAAAGGCAGTATTAAAGAAGTTGTTAATATCCAAAAATTGTGTCTATTTTATTTCAGTGTTTCATTTAAAAACAGACACGTGGAACAGATCACAGGAGTTTTCGCCATCAAGAACTATAAACGTTTCATTGCCAACCAATCCCCGAAAACGTTGAAGGTCCAAATGATGAGATATGAATTGATATATTTACTTCTGACGTAATGGACCTTTCGAGTTAAGTTTTAGTTTGACTTAAGAGATTCATAAATGTGTAATCATATGTGGCCTTACTTCGAAAAAAGCTTTATTCGACACACGCGTGATTGACATAGAGGGATCACACTGCGGTAACAAAGCATTTTCCGGAAACATTTTGCCATGTTTGTAAGGGATGTGCGCGACGCTTTCAGTCGTCAGTGCTCGCCGCTTCGCTAAAATAATGGTGTTTGAAATAAATGCTTTCGTAGGTAAATGTAACTTTAATTACCAATGTAAATCAAACATACGGCGTATTTGATGAAATCTGGTCCTGATGCACGTCTGATGAAGATGCCGCACATCATTATGGAACTTCCATTTTCAGATGTTGATATCCAGGTATTGTTGTTTACGAAGTGCTTTAAAATTGCATATCGAGGTCCTATCATATGAAACCATGCGAACAGAATATATTCTGCTTATTTAGAGCTCCATCGCCTCTGTTTCAAATAGTAACGCTTGTGCGGCTATTTAAGTAGCACCGAACAAACATGGCGCATATGTGTCGGGTAAAATACCGGTATGCCCTAACTGCAATCCTCTACTTACTTACTTCGACATATACGAGTTTGACATTAAGATATTCGTGCTTACCTGTAATACATCCGAGGAGCTTGTTTTATATTAACTTGCTGAAATACCTGAAACAAAAACCCAAAATATATAGAAAACAATTCTGCAATGTTGGTTGTGTTCAAGACTAATTCTTATGTATTGACTTTTCATTCCACCAGTAGAAATATTGTTTCGTTTATCAGCCTTGAACGCTTACAGTATATTGATTACTTAGTCATACACATACCGGTATATTGTAGTTTGTCGGGGTCTCGATGTAGAATGTTTTTGTTGCCGATGTTTGGGTGCGTCTCCCGCTATCTGTGACAGAAGTTGTCCCCCCTTGACGAGAGTCATTTGATCGATAACCACCAGATGGCGTTTTAGATGTTCGACTGGCAGAAGCCGCTCGCTGCATTTCGGCTGCCTTCTTCCGTTGTTTATCGACCATGGCTGACAGTGAAAGCAATATCATGAATAAGTGTAAGAAATAGTGAATGGGTGAACGTTTCGTAACGCCACGATCAGTTATATCAGGACGATCTGTGTATGATCGAGTCTGGGCCAGGCAGACCAGTTCGTTGATAACATGATCAACGAAACATGTCGTCAGGCAAAGATGACTCACAATCAGCAAGACCATACATTGTCCTGCTGACATTCATAGATCGGCTTTTACCACAAGAATGTTGTTGGGGTCATCTGCTGTTGTACCCGTGAAGATCCGGGGTAGATCTTCAGCAACCCATGCTCGTCGAAAGAGCCGACTAACGGGACCGGGTGGTCAGGCTAACTGACCTGATTGATGCATGCCATGGTATCCCAGTTGCGAGGATCGACACTCATGATATCAATCACTGGATTGTCTGGTCCAGACTCGATTATTTACAGACCGCCGTCATATAGCTGGAATATTGCTGAGTGCGGCGTTAAACAACAAACGCAAAACCTATGCTGTCCCGGATAAGAATAATCGTTACAACGTCCGCTAAAATTTAAATGTTTGTTTATGAAAAGGAACACTGCATACTGTAATACTCAAAAGAAGTACAAGAACAGCCGATTCTTTCATATAACTATAATTAATATGTTATGATCCTATCTGATGATATTTTGTATGCGCATTTCCTACCATGACAAAATTTTATTTGGTTGTTAAAGTAATTTTAATACTTACATATAATGTTAGTGAATTTCTTTGGTAGACTCGCCTCCCATCCCCAACCCCAAAACTCCTCCCCACTGAGGTTACAAAGATCCCAAGTGGAAACCCTCCCCAACCCTTCGTTTTGTAAAATCATGGATCCCCCCTGCATAGCATGAACGTCTTATGAGTAGTATATACGTTTTAGTTAAATGCATATCTATTGTATGGCGATGGTGCAAGTGTTGCAAAACTGGTTATGTCTGAGAAAGATGAGCTTAAACATAATTGATAAATACCAAGATATTCTGTTGCTGTTTTCGGTCTTGAGTTGTGTTTTCTGATGGCCTCTCCGTAGTCATGACGCCGCCGTGTTGCCATGCCATTCTGAGGCCCGGATGTTGTTCCACACCGGAAGGCGGAGCTGCAGGTACTATGGGCGGAGCTTGGTCGACTTGAGCGACTGTTGTACATCTCTGGGTTGGACACTGGAAGATATGTGTACCATACATCACTTGAATTGTGTTAAGGCAGTTAAACTACAATTACGTTTTTTTCAAAACTGACCTTAGTTCTTTGTTAGTAGGCTACGACTCTCACTCTCCTACCCAGAGTTCCTTGTGGTGAATCTAGTTATGCGAAATCATAACTGCGTTGGAGTGTGCTGCGAATCTATAAAAGTAAACTTGATTCCACTGTTTCACCTCTATTGGCCACTCGAAGTATCAAGAGATGGACCCGAGGCCACTGGAACCACGGTCAGGCCCATCCGTGAATCAGACACAAAACGAATAGCATGGCGTTGAAACGTGAAGCAAAAATGAATCCTTTTCTCGAAAGAGCTAACAATATTGACAAGGCTAAGAAAATCTCTGCCTGTGACACAACCATGCCGTTTTTGTTCTCATTTCGGGAATCAAAGGATGACTAGCCAACGACTCGCGCAGACAGCCACCTCGAGACAAAATCAAGATACAGATAATTGCGGGAGTGAGTGAGTTGGGTTTTACGCCGCTTTTAACAGTATTCCAGTTATATCACGGCGTGTCAGCTTAATGTGGGAGGAAAGCCCGAAGTGATGCAGGTATCAGACGTTTACCACTTCGGTGAAACCCACGAGCACGGGTATGGTGCTGACAAACCTAGAAAAATAATGATAATTGCGGGAAGGAGTTTACCTAAAGAGACACTTGTATATCTCTCCTGTATGTCTTACCTGAATATCTCATCATATTTATCGCCCATACTTACATATCTGCTTCTTGCTTGGCTTGTCTGGTGTCAGGTTGATGTCAATGATGGTGTGTGGGACACTCAGTGTGAACAGAAACCTGGAAATACACAATATTTGTCTTGTAGGGAAGACTTGCTGGAACTCGGGGGAATACGTCACGGAGGGAACGTAAAGTGTGTACGCCATTTCCTGGAACATCAGAGCTGGCGCCGTGGACTGACAGCGTTCCGTCTTCGTCCGTGAATACATACGGCCGCTTTGCAGTGCAGTCGCTACATGTAACCATTTAATCAAGCCACGGACTGGTTCCAGCTTGGGTTAGACCAATTTCATGCATGGAGTTTCATCACACGTCCATGGTCGTGAGTTCTACACGACCTCATTTATTACTGGATATAATATAGAAAAGCGGCGATTCCAGGTTAAAAGTGGTACCCACCAGCCTTTGCGGGTCTTGGGGACAGATGGAAGAGCGTCCGCCCGGAGACGGACGGTCAGGGGTGCGATCCCCGGCCGCGTCAAACCAAAAGACGTTAAAAAGTTGGTACTTGTTGTGACCCTGCCTAGCGCTCGACATTAAGGGGCTTAAACAAGGACTGGTCGGCTCGGAGTCAGTATACTGTGTCTAAGTTGGGTATTCATTTCAAACTGCGGCCTGGTATCTCAGTCGGCTAGCACTATAAAATCTGCGTTAGTGTATAAAAATTACACACACACATACGTATAAACTGCTACACCTTATGTATTCACGGGTGAATAAGGAACGTTTTGTACACAAGCCGTGACGTATTTACGATACATTATTCAACATTTATCACATGTTCATTAATTGTCAGCGTCTCATGTTAATATACTTGATATGGGTCTGTCTTGGGAAGGCACCGGCCCTAAACAAGCATGGTGTATGTTCACCTGTCATAGAAGTCCATCATGCAGGGGTGTGTGAAGTCGGTGAGATTCAAGAAGGAGTGGCTCTCGGGTTCGATCCTCTCCGCCTGGAATATACAAGTGTGTACTGGGTGAGTGAGTTAGTTCAGCGCCGCTTTGGACAGTATTTCAGTTATATCACGGCGTGTCAGTTTAATCTTGAGACAGTCCTGAACTGATGCAGACGATTACCACTTTGGTGATACCTGCAAGCACGGGTATGGTGTTTTAGCAAGGATTTTATTTAAGGCGAATTGGGGACTCAAACCCGCAATAAAAGATTTTTGCCAGGCATAAGGGAGGCAACTCTGCAGTGCGAATTGAGGCGTCTCCAACAGCGTGGCCATACGTGTTCTTACTGAGGAGCGCAAAGCCTCCACCTCTAAATGCAGTATGAGAAACTACCTTGTTGAACAAACATAAATGGACAATTCGAAAATATGAAAACAGGTGAAATGATGTTAGTTCTATTTGAAAATTTAAGCTGAGTGTATTTTATAGCTTTGGGAAAAACACATTGTACGAAACCACTTTGCTTCGAAATACACTGATGGAAAGAATACAGGTAGGTGGAAGTTTGACATGATATGGTGTTTTGTTGCATCACAAACATGATGCGGGATGAGGAGAGAGATGAAGGATCTGTCAAAGTCATCACTGAAACAGATGTTTGTCAACAGAATTACGAGTTAAAATGAACCGGTGGAAAGAGGACAGTTGAAGGGAGGTAACTCTACTACAACTCTCATTGTCACTTGGAAAAACTTTGGACACAAATAAATCGTATTTGTGTGAATCGAAATTTTAAATTCAAAGATTTAAGACACGTGATCAATGGTTTATGTTAAAAATAAAGTTGGAGTCGCAGAAATTGATTCTAGACTAATTGATTGTAGTGAGTGTTAGATAATGATTTTACAGCAACATGTATAGTGATGAAAATAACAATGATGATGAATATGATGAATATGATGATGAATATGATGATGATGATGATGACCACGTTAGTGAAACCCACGAGCACGAGTATGGTCCTGACAAGCCAAACATCATATTCGAACCAAAGATCATTGGCTTCGAGGACGCAACTCTGCACTGCGATTTAGAACTGGGACACGCGAGTGGGTATGTGTGGGGGTGTTTGTGTGTTTCTTAAAAGGATGTAACTTGGGGATATTTGTTCAAAACATTAATTATCACATAACAGAAGCAATACTGAACCAAACATTTATAATATAGATTTTAAGTGGAAATAATTTCCTTTCCTAATTTTAGGAAAGTCTGCACTTCGCCCAGAAAAGCTGTATCCGCCCTTGCTTCGTAGATTGCAACTATCAATAATGTATCATAAAGATTAAAGGTAGATCGCTTCACTGTACACGTTTCCAATCTAATTCCAGACCTATTTTTGTTTGTCTGTTGTTTAACGCCGCACTCATCAATATTCCAGCTATATGACGGCGGTCTGTAAATAATCGAGTGTGGACCAGACAATCCAGTGATTGACATCATGAGCATCGATCCATGCAATTAGGATCGTTGACATGCATCAACCAAGTCAGCGAGCCTGACCACCCGATCCCGTTTGTCGCCTCTTACGACAAGCATAGTCGCCTTTTACGGCAAGAATTGGTTGCCGAAGACCTTTTCTACCCCGGATCTTCACGTGTCCGAGACCTAGTCACAGTTCGTGTGGTGACCTAGGATAACGGTAATCGTTAACCGTTAGATGGACCTACATCATAAAATTAACAAAATATTCACGGGCAAATTGATCGCGTATCTGGTTTACCGTTATCCAAATATGAATATTCGTGATCTCAGAGTACCGATTGTCTCATATAGATATATGGAACCATTAACATCAATACTACAACGGCGTTTGCTTTACATTAATAGAAAGCATCTATCTGAATGCCAATAAAATGCCATTATATTATAATATATCAATCACTCAAAAACTAGCATTTCACCCTTAACACGTGTACAGGTTCCTGAATCTATGCAGCCATGTGACCTCCATGTGCCAGAATTGTGAAAAAGTAACAGTTACCCTACTACAAGGGCCATTGACACTTCGGGAAGAATTAAAAGGTCATCCATCCTGTGTGTCATCAAAACACTTTTTGTTTTGAAAAGGTACATTATAAATAATTTCTGAAAAACAAATCTTACAAATTTGTTCTTAGAGAAGCGAATAAACTAAGCTAAGAAAATTATTCAGATGTCGTTACTACAGTCTAAAGGGACTATACACATTTGAGACTATCCCTAACAACGGGTTAGTACAGTACGAGGCAGTAGTAAGTTACCTTCCGTTGTGAACCACTGATGTAGTTCGGAGCCAGCTAACACAGCAAGCAAACAAAGCACACTAAACAAATGTACAGCACACAAAACACAAAACAACACTCCACTCTATAACAAACTTGAAGCAAAAAGCAAAACGCTCACTTGGTGAAAATATTGACATGCAAACTTGATTGTGGGCAATAACATCTAAAACCTCAGTGTGAGGGTGAGATTTTAAAACCGTTCCTTACAGTTACAGATAGTGATTCCATCAGCGAGAGGGGTTTCTTGTAAAAAGCAAGCAGCACTCAATATAACAAGCGTTACCTCAAACAAGCGTAACTTCAAAATACTATTGTTAAAAAAATGGAATGAGACACACATTTTTATCTTCTGTTTACAGTTAAGTTTCTGCATATGACTTAATTTATTTCAAAGACTTAACCATAACATGTACATGTACATAGGGATATTTAATATATGTAATGAGAACTGGATCATGTCAACAATACTCAAAGCAAATGAATTTTAACAAGAAACATTCAGTGTAAAGCGGTACATATGAACACAAATGCTATAATAAGATGTTTTAGGGTCATCAAGAAACGTACCAGGGGCCTTGTGATGGCACCACGGAGGATGAGGGCACACACGTGGTTTGGGTTCATCCGGAGAGCGTGGTCAACATCCCTGAGAGCCTGAAGGTCAAGGTCAAGGTGACTCATGTGTTTAAACAATGAAAATAACGGTGGGCGTTATTACAGTATTATATCACACACGTCGTATAATAGAGACACAAATACAAATGAATTTTTAACTTTATCACCCCACAATAAATATAATGAAGGCCAACATTGAAATATTACTCGACTGATTTAAAACAGAGCAGAACTGACCAACGAGTCTTCATCACGTGCACCTCGAACAAGAGCCCGGATACAGTAGACGTCCTGTAAAGCATAAAGACATGCCAATGTACCTCTGCGGTCTACTAGACCGGACACATCTTGCTCAAGCATTATGCCAAGTGATTTGAATATTGCATTAAATGCATTTAAAAATCAGTTTACGTTTTATCAATAAATCGTAATGTTTAAGAATTTCAGAACAAAATACTTTTACAACAGATAAAAACAACAATAACGATGTACAGTTAGTGCTTAAATGAGAAGTAGATTATATCTATAATTATCAAACATAGTCAGTTACTGGTGTTACTAATAAAGAGTCTTTACTGGATTTCTGCTGTCGAGGACGACTGTTTTCTCAGCATCTCTCATCGCACCGGCCATGTCCCCTGAAATTGTGATAACGTTATACTTAATACAACACACTCGATAATAGGCATGCGTGAAACAGTGTCAACACAACGTCACGTTGCAAACGTCTTTGGTATAAGCCAAAGTGTGATTAGCAGGGCATGGAATCGATACCAGACGTTTGGTTAAGCTACCCAGCGACATGCAGGTGGTCGACGCCGTTCTACCACAGGGAAGACAGGTTTCCCCGGATTGTAGCAAGACGTCATCACTTCGTGACTGTCATCACACTCAGAAATGACCTGCGGAATGCCAGTGGCGTTAACGTTTCTACTCAGACAGCGCGTCATCGTCTCTGTGAGGCTTGAATCCGGTCACGGGGGGCAGGCATTCGCACCCCACTGACCCGACATCACAGGCAGGCTAGTTTGGATTGGAGTGAAAATCACGTCAATTGAACAGACCAAGATGGGCTCCAGGGCCCCGTTCCACAAAGCCATCTTAGCGCTAAGGTGATCTCCCATACTTTAACACTGGCTTACGCTAGTCGTAACGCTAAGATCGCTTTGTGGAACGGTGCTCAGGTCTTTCCACTGATCTATCGAGAAACCGTCAAGACTTCGCAGACCGTCGTGCCCGAGTCAGGCGTAGACAAGGATTACAGGATTCTAACGTAGTCGAACATGACCGCTATGGAGTGACAGTGGGGCACAATGACAGGTGTGCGCTACAGGGATGACATTCTGGATGTGTTCGTGAGACCGTATGCTGGTGCAATCGGAATGGACTTCATCCTTAAGGACGAATCCGCACGACCTCATCGCGCCAGGGTCGTTGATGCCTACTTAGCGCAAGAGGACCATTGTCCGCATTGAGTGGCAAGCCTGGTCACCAGGCCTCAAACCTATCAAACACATGTGGCACAAGCTGCAGATCGCCCTCTCGCGACGCTCTGTCCTTCCGGCAACTCTTCAGGAACTCGGTAGTGCTCTTTCTGAAGAGTGGAACAATCTTCCCTTGTATACTTATCAGGTCTAGCATCGATGTATTGTACTATTGCAACTATTCAACCGGTCAGTTCACAAGTGCGGTTACACATCATCCTACATACACACAAGTATACATACATAGGTAGAAACGCAACATATTCATCGACACACGACTCCAAAATATGCCAACCACCATCTCAAATTCTGAACGTGAAGCCACGATATGTTGCGTTTCTTTCAAGCTAACAAACAGGTAACAACGTTCAAAGGCTCAGTAAAGCTTTCAAAGCGTTTTATGGGAGACAGATTTGACAAAAGTATCACTGACAAGAATGATGTCCAATAGAATTCCCTATTTTCAATTGAACTATATGTTCCCGTGTTTTTTTCAGGTGAACAACTGACTTGCCTTTGCGTGTGTCTGTGATGGATGCCACAGGTGGGGCAGGATACACGAACACCCGGTATCATCACTATTTGATTGTGATTCATAAATACATACTCACGATGTAGTCGGAATCGTACAATTGATTGTTTTTGGCAGGGATTTCTTATGAATATGGAAAGGGTTGTGTCGCTTTTATTTCAAGCTTTCAAGTAGAGTCTTCACAGCTGTGCAACAACATATGGGAAGCGAGGACAAAGACTTGCCTCCAACAGCCGTGCCCATATGAGAATATGAGAATTGGAAAACGGTCTCATGTCTGAGCAATGAACGCACTACCCATAAATTGCAACGGTGGTGGGACATCCATATCCTGTAATCATCAATGATCGAATCGGGGAAAACATCACGGGCAACTATATTCCTATACCCAATTTCAAAATGTGCTTCTTTTATCAGTTGGTACATATTACCCAAGTTAGCGCCAGGGATATTGAGTAACAAGTGAAAAATCAATATACACATCTTTGTTTGTTTGTTTGTTGTTTCACACAGCATTCAGGAATATTTCAGCTGTATGACGGCGGTCTGTAAATAATCGAATCTTGACCAGACAATCCAGTGATTGACATCATGAGCATCGATCCACGCAATTTGGATTCAATGACATGCATCAACCAAGTCAGCAAGCCTGACCATCCGATCTTACGACAAGCATAGTCGCCTCTTATTACAAGCATGGGTTGCTGAAGACCAATATACTGGTACACATCTAACGACAACTTGTGGAGCGAGATCCGTGTCTGATATCTGACACCGTTCTACAATTAGAGCTCGCGTAATAGAATGACCTTTTGCCACACACGGTCTTCAGTTTCCTATCTCTGGAGTACATATATATTTATTCATCGTGTAGAGTACACATACCCTATAACGACATAGCGACGTCGAAACCCACAGCATTGAAATATGACAAAAAAGTGCATCAAATTACACGAGTTATGTTTAATCCCGAATATTATAACGTTTTTTTATTGAAAACAAACTCAGTGAGGATCCGCAATGCATACTGATATATTAAATATCGACCCGCTCCGAAGTCCATAATCAACATGAGAATAACTGATAAGTATTACGCTTCGAAACAACAATTGAAAATGGCTGCCAGTACATATTAAAACATTTTATGCGCATCACCTAAACTACCAGAGCAGACTTAAGTTCCCAAACAATTTTACAATCATAATAGTGTTTCGGTGTAGGTGCGTTACAGCCTTACTTCTTTGCATCGTTTACTTGGGTTTTCAATGACCTACCAAGACGGGTATATGCAAAGGCTCTCCTGGCGTAGAGTGGCGTCATCAGGCAGGAGTTGGTCAAACAGCCAGCAAGACACCCTCCCTGTTTAAATACAAGACAGCATTAAGGACCTACTGTTTCATATTCCGGGGTACAGTCCGGGAAGATGAATTTGTTCCCAATTACCTCAGGTTTTACAGCCTATTTCATATGGTCATTTAAAATATTTAATATAGTCACTCACTGTTTATGCTGGATGTTCTGAACAAAAACATAATCTTTTTAGAAAAAAGTAAACTGCAGGGCAAAGAACATATAAACTTGAAAGTTGGATGTGACCAAACAATTATAATCGTAGTCAAAACGTTACAGTTGCCGAAAGACTGCAACCTTTAGGTTCTAAACACAACTATGGCAACCGTATCAACACATCACCATCGAATAACCTTTTCTTGTTTGTTCCATTTTTAGCCACCATAAAACATGGGTGTATACTTTCTTTGGCCTGCAGTTTATATTTGTTGAAAGCAATGCCCGAAAACAGTTTCCGACTCCAACGAAAATACCAGGCCCGAGCTTCCATAACATGTAATCGCCGGTCCTCATTTGTTAGGAAATCTAGATATCGCCGACAGACGGTGTTCTTTACGAATGCACTACAATATATTCTACTGGGTGAGTTTTGTTAAATCGCTTGCTGTGGGAGGAAAGACAAAAGCATACAGGTCTTAGACGTTTGGTCACATCCACAAGGACGAGTATGGAGCAGACTGACCAAGGATCATAATGAAGGCGAATCTCGGATTCGAACTCATGACTAGCGGATCCTGGTGTGATTCAGAGAGGCAACTCTGCACAAGGATGTGGTTTGACATTCTCCTTAAACCCATGAAACTTGAGATACGTGGTAATGTACTCGGACATAGCTCTATAAACTGAATCAGTGAGGAGAGCTAGCAAATATTTTCCCCATCCATTCTTACCATAGCCGATATAACTGAAATACTGTTAAAAGCGGCGTTAAACCCAACTCACTTACTCACTCACTCTTACCATAGCTGCCACTGTCAGACTCAATACGCTTTGAAATAACGTCAGTGGTATCAAGATATGCTTTCAACAAAGAAAATACGACAAGCGGGCGGTCGGGTAGCCTAGTGGTTAAAGCGTTCGCTCGTCACGCCAAAGACCCGGGTTCGATTCCCGACATGGGTACAATGTGTAAAGCCCATTTCTGGTGTCCCCCGCCGTGATATTGCTGGAATATTGCTAAAAGCGGCGTAAAACCAAACTCACTCACTCACTTACGACAAGCATAGTCGCTTTTTACGGCAAGCGTGGGTTGTTGAAGATCTATTCTACCCCGGATCTTCACGGGTTGTTGCTGATAAAACTGCATGTAAACTGAGTGTATATACACACTTTGTCATGAACGGTAAAAGGTGACAAATGGCCTACATTTGCAACAGCTTGTGTAAGAGATATCAATTCCAATTTAGGATTGCTTGATTAAAATTTAATATAATATCAGTAGAAAATGAATAAAATAATAATTGAATATAATGATAAAGGATTGCATTTCCAAATACTTCATTTGCGTTTGTACAACACCCATAGAAATGTATTTTTTTTGTCGATGCATGCGTCGTACGGTAGTATATAATTGGGTTTGATATTGCAATGTTTATCGTACCACCTTGTCAAAATGTCATCTACTGCAAGCAGTTAATTATAACTTGAAAACAATCCCTTCTAGTTTCAGCTGTCAATATAAAGCTCGCGCCCAGCCTGTTTCAATATAATAAAAACTATTTTCACAGATAAAATGTTCAAAGGATCTGATTTTGTCCAACGTAGCACGAGACACACTTGGACGTTGTAGACATGACGTATGCCATTATCTTGTTTGTGATCTGTTTCCATACACGTTATTAGTTTAATTATCATTCTCGGTTCTCTATGTACAGTAAACTACGGTTATAACGAACTCAAAGGGACTACTAATATTAGTTCGTTATAACCGTAGTTCGTTATAAGTACATATACAGCATGACTACAGCAAGTAGTCGGGACCAAAAAGCAAGTTCGTTATATCCGTCAGTTCGTTATAAGCGTGTTCGTTATAACCGTAGTTTACTGTATGTGAATGTTACCTTTGGGATGGACACAATGTTGATAGCCTTGGTAAACTGTGCGGCCGCCTTCCTGTGTTCCCCCACGTGTTGAAGAGCTACACCGAGGTGGGCGTGGACCTCGTACACCTGGCGGTATAGGTAGATATACATTATACAGAACATGCTATACACATATAGATATTTATACATAGATATGGACATGTTACGGACATGTCTTGGACATAAAATACCTATGTTGTAGTCAATCGAGTCTGGAACAGACAGTATGAGCATCGATCCACACAACTGGGAGACGATAACATGTTTGACAGTGTCTAAAAATGAAACAAAGACGAAATGAATACATGACACTTTTTTATGGATAGTAACTACTTTTGATTCTTTGTACGACATTTCAGAGCTACTTCTTCCTCCTTCGTTTCACCTGATGAAGGAGCAAGAAGTATCCCCGAAACGTCGAAAAAAAAGAATTTAAAATATTGCTGTCCATAAAAAAGTGTCATATATTCATGTTCTCCCAACTTCGAAATACCTATCAATGACTTCAAAGAAGAAATGGCTATTCGATGATGTATTTGACACGGGTAGCATAGTTTTGTTTTGGACCTTGCGTTTGCAGTATTTCGGCCTTTTCACCTCAGTAACATTTTGATAACGTTTGTAATGTTTTGGTCTAATACAATGTTAAAGAGTATACTTTCCTCTGCCCGGCAGTGTACGTACCAGCATGGAGTAGGAAGCAGGTGACTCGTAGTCATGGGGCAGATTGTCCTTGTCGATCATCCACAGCAACTTCCGGTAACTGTCGACCACCTGGAAACAGACCGGAAGTTAGACACAATATAAGACCATGAGTGAGTGAATGAGTTTGGTTTTATGTCGTTTTGAACTGTATTTCAGTATGTCATGGCGTGTCAGATTAATGTGGGACGAATGCCTAAAGTGAAGCAGTTCTTAAACATTCATTGCTTTTGGTGAAACAAGAAGCTTGGATATGGTGCTGAAAAACCTAAAAACAACCATGGCGAATCTGAGATTCGAATCTATGATCATAGGTCCTCACACACCTAAGGGACGCAACTCTGCATAGCGAAATACGTCACCTCAGACGACTGGTCACCGTATATGCATGTTAGACACGTGAAATAACCTCATGCTGTAGGGTGAAGTATAATAGTGCTCGCGTCGTGCATGGAAACAGGTGTTGTTGAGTTTTCCTGGATTAGGATGGCTTGGTGGATTATGGTATTTCTATATTCAGCTTTGGAAGGTTTATCTATGAAATCCCAGAGGGGTTCCGGGTTAGAATTGGTTCTCACTATCCTGTGCTGGTCGTAAGGGGCGAATTAATGGTTCGGGGGGTAAGACTTGGTTGATAAGTTTGTACCCGACTGAGTGGGGCGTTGTTCGTAATATCAATCTGTGGATTGTCTGATCCAGACTCGATTATTTACAGACCGTCGTCATACAGCTGGAATATTGTTGAGTGCGGTGTTAAGCCACAAACAAGAGTTTGAAACATTACAGCTTATTTTTGCCGGAAAATGTCGGTGTTCAGCCGATCACGTGATGTGTTGTGGACTGCGTGGTGTTACATGACATACAAAGTGAGTACGGACTATGTTGTTACATGACATACAAAGTGAGTACCGACTATGTTCTTACATGACATACAAAGTGAGTACGGACTATGTTGTTACATGACATACAAAGTGAGTACGGACTATGTTGTTACATGACATACAAAGTGAGTACGGACTATGTTGTTACATGACATACAAAGTGAGTACCGACTATGGTGTTACATGACATACAAAGTGAGTACGGACTATGTTGTTACATGACATACAAAGTGAGTACGGACTATGTTGTTACATGACATACAAAGTGAGTACCGACTATGGTGTTACATGACATACAAAGTGAGTACCGACTATGTTGTTACATGACATACAAAGTGAGTACGGACTATGTTGTTACATGACATACAAAGTGAGTACGGACTATGGTGTTACATGACATACAAAGTGAGTACGGACTATGGTGTTTCATGACATACAAAGTGAGTACGGACTATGTTGTTACATGACATACAAAGTGAGTACGGACTATGGTGTTACATGACATACAAAGTGAGTACGGACTATGTTGTTACATGACATACAAAGTGAGTACGGACTATGGTGTTACATGACATACAAAGTGAGTACGGACTATGTGGTGTTACATGACATACAAAGTGAGTACGGACTATGTTGTTACATGGCATACAAAGTGAGTACGGACTATGTTGTTACATGACATACAAAGTGAGTACGGACTATGTTGTTACATGACATACAAAGTGAGTACGGACTATGGTGTTTTAGTTAACAAGTTTTAGTTAACAAGTGAGGACTATGGATGTGTTCAAGGTGAAGGGTATAGACCACCAGTTTTAGCAGAGAAACTCGTTGGTGTTGAGGCATAAGTAAAGGTCTACAGTGAGTAGCCACAAATGTTCTACTCTTCTGTGCATGCTTGTATAACCTGCGTGTGCGTTTACTTGAGAATACATCCGTGCCTGCGCGTCATAGTAAGGTATTCCTATCATGTTGTGTTTAAAATTACAATATCCGTGTCCTATACTTAAAAAGCAATAAAACTGAATTCACTGAGAAACATTACTTGAGAAAACCAGTTCACGCAGGTATTCTTATTAAAGTTGGACTTACAAACTATAGGAAGGAAATTAAAGTATAAATTTATCGACGTATGCTAAATAAACTCCTGTCTGACATCTACACCCGCATACTTCTCCGGGTTAAGACTACTTTGAAGGTTAGGTTCAAAGTAAGGATTATAGGAAATGGAATATGAACCTGTTGTTTTACCCGAGAGTCGTTTAAACAGTTCGATGCACGACATGTGCTGTAAGTTGGCAACGCGTTAAAAGGGTGCCAGGCCCTGAAGGAGGGGGGTGATTAGCTGGAGGGGGCTACCGTGTTTCTCAGCTCCCGACAAGCAGACAAGGCGTGTATTGGTCACGTGACTTACGCTCAGCAAAAGCTGCATGTCATTCATGGAAATGTATTTCAGGACCCATAAAAGATAAATAGACACCGGCAAGCATTTTAACATAATAAAACAAGGAAAACCGTGTGTGAACAGATACAATAATGTTTGAGAGAATACAAAACGTTTAATTTTCCTGCTTCCCGGGAAAATGTTGTCACGTCTTTCATTTGTTAGGCTAGCTGTGTGTGTTTATTCTTCCCCGGATGTGAAATCATGAACAGTTGTATGATCGATCAAACAGACGTTTTTCCCACCCATTTTGAACGAATATGAGGTAGGTGTGATTTTATATTTTCACAATCGCAGGCACCCGTTCCACAAACCGATCATAGCGCAAAGGTTATCGTAACTTTAACCTTAACATAGTGAGTGAGTGAGTATGGTTTTACGCCGCCTTTAGCAATATTTCAGCAATATCACGGCGGAGGACACCAGAAATAGGCTTCACACAATGTACCCATTTCGGGAATCGAACCCGGGGCTTCAGCGTGACGAGCGAAAGCTTTAACCACTAGGCTAACCGACCGCCCCAACTTTAACATAGACGTACGACAGTCACTTCGGAATGAGGCCAGGTGTCTTTATTGGTGCCGTAAAGATTGATAGAATAGTTGATGTATTTTATCTGGTCACGGCACAATGGCTATATCTCGATAAGCTACGGTTCGTTGAACTCAATACATTACTTGACTATTGGTTGCTTCGTCAGATGTAGTGAATAACAAAATAATGATATTCAACACCTTTCATAAGTTTTGATTTTATTCAAAATAAATAAAACGAGACATATGGATATCCGTTTAGAAGATGTTTATTCGTAACATCGTGTCACTTTAGGCTTTCCAAAGTATTGTTCGCAGCGGCGTAAAATCCAACTCACTCACCCACTAACTTCATATCAAACCTTCATCACCCCACATACCCCGCCGTCACACTACCCCCACCCCCTTCATTCTAATGAATTATTGAATTAAAAAATTCAAATGAAGCAGGACGAATTCAGCCTTGACATAATGCCAAATAAAGACATTCAAATAGTTCGGGAAGTATAAATATTCACCATACAATCGCACTTTTAATAATTACAGTAGTCGTATGATTATCTCAATAACATCGTGTGAGCTATTTTAACTATTGCAATAGAAGAATACCCACAACAAGTCTATGTGTAAAATATTCGGTAATCTTTTTGCGTGATCTATATAAAAGAAGAAATGTACAGTTGGCGCATAACGTACGTTTTTAGCTACATGTATATTTCACCAATCATGACAATGTGTTAATGTCCATAGAATAAAAATCGAAATACTTAATTTTAAATCATTTTTGAGTTTTTAGATACACATACTACACTATGGAATAAGGTATAAATAATCCAATTTTGAAAACGTTTTTTTTTTAAAAACATTTTTATTTATATTTATCATTGGACCTCCTTATTTGGTTTCAGTGGTAGCAATCACGTGATATCATGTGCTCCCCGTCGTGATTTTAACATGATCAGTGTATAATGATATACATATGAAAAGCTTATCTTTCACGTATACACATTACACACATGCACACACGAATAAACAGACAAATATATCTTTCATGAACAGGTTGCATTTCAGTTTCTGTACACTATACATCAAATTCAAAGTGACAGCTCGAGCGTCGTTGAGTGAAATCGACTACTGTAGATCTATAGCCATTGAAATTGACATACGCATGTTAAAGCGGCTCATTTTGAGGTGTACTTTAAATTGTTTATTGCTTCACCACTATGCTTGAGACCGTACTCACTGCTTTATTCGGCAATGATTTAGCGATTATGGATTGTTGTGTAAGCTAGAACGTAACCGAGGGAATATTTGTACCGTTAATACCACGTCGCTCATTAAATCGACACCATGTCATTCAAATCCCGGCTATAAATCATATCTCTATTCATGTGACACATGTCGGTATTTCATAATCGAACACTAATATGTATTAGGTTTACCTGGTGTAGTTTCATTGTTTACCTGTCCGGCTGGCCGGTTATACGGCTAAATAATTGATCCTGTTTTATCGAAACAATCAATGCAAGTGCGTGTTCACGTAATCGCCCCTTCACAACACACTATCCACCTCTACAGTGTATTTGTAGGTGTGACTTAGACCCCAGTGGTGTATTATAGTATTGGTAGGGCGGTTTGGGCCGTTATTGACAACTCTTATTTACACGCCAAGGGTAGATGTATTTTTAAATAACACAGAAACAAAGTTAATCCTTTCCATGCTGAAAAAACATACAACGTAAAATGATATTATTTAATAAGCTAAAATGGCTCAACCTTCTTGTGTAAACTACATACACGGGCGTCGTACGAATTCCAGTAAGCATACTTTGTCAATAAAAGATTCAATATGCTCAAAAACTTAAAAAGACCGTTGTTTTTTCCACATAGTAAATGTACATTCATTTATCAGTTTCGGGTTAGAGTAATTTGACTTGTGATAAATCCACATGTCCTATCATTAATTTCACTTCACCCTGAAACCACCTGATATTGACTGGGTCTCTGACGTCACGATGAATAAATGACGTTAATAACGTCACGGCGAAGAGCTGAAGGGGTTATTTATCACCGACCCGTGGCTACTCTGACCGGCCTTCTCGTCGACTTGACCAGTGTGTTTAATTATTAAAATATCGGTTGTACCTTGCCGTTGGGTTGTCAGTTCATAACACAGTTCTTCGAAAATTTGAAATTCGTCTGCGCCTGTCAAAG